ATTTTATTTTTAAATTCTCATTTGAATATGCTTTACATCTTATGTTTATGTATTTTAATTTTAGATAATAGGTTTTTAAAACATTATTTTAAAATTTATTTTATATTTTTATTAATATTATGTTTAATATTTTTTTGATTTTTTTGAATTTTCTGACTTTTTTTTATTTTTAGCATTATTTTTGTATTTTTGCGCTTTGCTTAAAAAAGGCGCGCACCTCGCCTTGCGCCTTGTGCCTCAGGCGCAAATTGACCCCTGCGCCTTGTGCTTTTAAAACACTGGCCTTGATTGCTTCCATCAAAATTCAGTTTTACACAACCTTCCGGCGGCGGATTCCATACTATAGACATCCTTTCCTTATTGAGGGAATTACTAGCCACCTCTATCCAGTTCCTTCTAAAGTCATCAAAGCAGAACAAATGGAAGAATTCTTAAGTTCTCAACCAATGAATTGCCCTTTTTAAGATAAACTCTTTGATATTCGGGAGACTTCGTTCCTTTTCTTGAAAAATTCTTGCATTTCTTTCCTCTCAAATTGTCCAAAGTGCAGCTGCTCTGATGCATTTCCACATGATCCTCCCTCTTTTTGTGGGCCATACAAAGACTGACGGGTCAAAAAGAAAACTTACATTAGTGGGTAAATTCCACCTGCAACCAAATAAGGCAAAAATCCAATCCCAAATAGCAATAGCATAGGAGCAGGAAATTAGTAAGTGGAAGCAGTCCTCACCATTAGCTTTGGAAAGAATACACCAGCTAGGGGACAAACACATAAAAGGCTTCTTTTTTTGTAAGAGGTCTAGGGTATTGATTTTCCCATAAAACACTTCCCAACAGTACAAGATAATTTTGGGTGAACACGCTTAGCCCAAAGCTCCTTTACAAGAAAAACCAATTGAGTGGAGGAAGAACAAAGGGCTTTCAAAAAGGAGGCACAAGAAAAGCCTTTTGGCTGGGGGAACCAAATCCTCTTGTCTAACTGTAAAGGATCCAAGCAAACATTATCAAGAATCAAAAGAAGTTGAGAAACATCACCGAGTTCAGCATCCCTCAAGCCCCGACGGAAGCCAAAATTCCAATTTAAAGACAAAGGCAAAAAGGGGAAGGGAAGGAAATTAGAGACAACCTTATTCTTAAACAAGGAAATAGAGTAGACAGAAGGGAAAAAGTCTTAACATTTTTTTTTTGATCAGTTGGGAAAAGGTCTTAACATGCATTACTATACTATATAGAAAAACTGGCTAGTCAGGCCAGTTGGCCAATCATGTGGCCAAACTAGGTACATTTAATCTCCAAACCACTCACTTTAAAAAAAAAAAACCATTGACAAGTGACCCCACCATCACCAACTGAACTGAAGAATTGTTTAACCTGGTTAGCAAATCATGGATTAGACTTCTATTCTCTTTTTTTCTTTTGTATTTTTAGCCATTTCCATCATCAGTAACAATAATTCTCATTTATCACACTTATCTTGATAGATTTTTATTTAACGGTGAACGAGGAGGATCATTGGGGGAGATTTGGTCTCGAGGGCCATGCCTAGAACAACTTGTTATCATTAACCAATTTCCCTGTCTAAAGATTATTAAAGATGTAGGTCTCCAGCTCCATTTAGATTTGAGAACATGTGGTTATGTCACCTGGGTTCAAAGAGAAAGTTAAGGAATGGTGGGAAGAGAGTAGCAATTCAAGGATTAAATGGAAGGGCATGAAGTTCCATCATAAGTTGAAAGAATTAAAAGCTAAAATAAAAGATTGGAATATCCGGCAATTTGGGGAATTAGATGAGAGAAAGCAAGCAGCAATCGATCAAATTGAGGTTTTTGGATGCTAAAGAAGCTTAACATACTTTCAGGGAAAGAGATGAGGAGAGATGGGCATTAAAAGAAGCAATTAGAAAAGAGCTTTTATTTGTAGGAAATAAAGGAAGAGGTTTCTTAAGTGAACCTAGAAAAAATCCACTTGATTGGAGTTGGGGATTTAAGTAGAGAAAATATGGAGTAGCTTGCAACTGTGTTGGATTGTCATATTGGGGAGCTTCCTTTCCTTTATCTTGGGCTCCCAATAGCATCTAGATCTGCTGTTGTAAACATTTGGAAACCCCTCTTAGAGAGAGTGGAGAAGAGGTCGGATAGATAAGGCAAAGTACCTCTCATTTGGAGGTAGAATTACACTTATTAGGAGTGTTCTTTCAAGCCTACCAACCTATAAGCTTTCACTATTGAAGGTTCCTTCAGAAGTGGCCAGGAGGATAAAGAAGGTTCAAAGGGATTTTTTTGTGGGAAGGGACTGGGCGGGGCCAAGAAGTTTCATTTGGTTAATTGGGAAAAAGTTGTGCAGGCCAAAGGAGGGGGTGAACTGGGACTGAGAAGGATAAAACCTTTCAACAAACCATTATTAGGGAAGTGGCTGTGGAGATTTGGGCAGGAGAAGGACAATTGGATTTGGACCTTTTCCCCATCAGGTATCTTTACCTGTGCATCCAACCAGGTGATAATTTGGATCAACCTTTTCCGGTTAAAGAGATTTCGAGTAAGCCAATTCCGCCTAGGATTGCTGATTTCTGCTGGGAAGTGCTTTTGGAAAGGATTAACACCTATGACTTTCTCCAAAGAAAGAGACCTAAGTGGTGCTTATCCCTTCACTGGTGTATTCTGTGCAAGGCTAATGCTGAGCCTTTCCATCACTTATAAATCTCCTGCCCCTTAGTATCTTCAATTTGGGATTGGTTTCTTTCCTTGTTTGGGTGTAGGTGGAACGGAACCTCCTATCAAATATACAAAGCCTGTTTGACCCCTCCTTTGTCAGTTGGCAAAAAAAGAGGGGTCAAACTTTATGGAGGTGTATCAAGGCTGCTGTGTGTTGGACAATATGGAAAGAGAGACATCTTTGCAGAAGGGATGCTCTGATTGTTTGGAGAGTAGGTTTGTTGCGAAGTTGGAAACCTTAAAATTATTTGAGGATATTTCTGGTGTAGGTTTGTTGCAAAGTTGGAAAGTAGTAGCTGATTCTGCTCCTAATACGGTTGTAACAAGACCAAGCTGGTCTCCTCCCTCCAATGGTTTTATTAAGCTAAACATGGCAGTTGTGAAGGGAATCTCGGTCCTTCAGGAATTGGAGTTTTCAGAAATGGGGATGACAGAATTATTGGTCTTTTTTCAGGACAGATTGGTGCAGGGAACTCTTTGAGGGTTGAAATTCTAGCTGCTTTGGTAGGGGCTCAAAAAGCCAAGGAAGAGGATCTGGGTTGGTGGGAATTCCTTAATGAAAAAAGAAGGTTTAAATGGTTAACACAGGAAATGGAAGTGAACCTGAATTGGGTAAAAAGAGATGCCAACTATCTTGCCAATGCACTAGCCAAACAAGGGGTTGAAAGAATACAGTTATCTTGGGCTATGTTGTAACATCTTATAATTGTTTGAGGAGAGTTAAGAGAGTTTATCTCTCCCTTCTCTTTGTACTTCTCTTTTAATTAATGAATGTTTTTCCAGTTATTCATCAAAGGAAAAGGCAAGAGAAGGAAAGGGTGGCTTTATGGAGGAGGGTGGTGGTTGGGAAATATGGGGCAGTGAGGCTTCAATGGGAACCAAGGGAAGTTTCAAGGACTTGTGGGTTGAGTGTTTGGAAAGGAATTATGAGGTCTAATCAGGATTTAAGGGGCTTGATTAAATTTAAAGTGGGAAGAGGTTCTAGAGTAAGGTTTTGGGAGGATGAGTGGACTAGAATTGGGAAACTATGTGATGCTTATCCAAGGTTATATAGGTTGTCTGAGTAGCAAGCAACAATTGATCAGTGCTATGAGATGAGGGGGGAGCAGCTGGTTTTTCCTTTGTTGCCAATGGCATATGGATATGAGCATATTGATCCAGTAAATCTTGCCAAGTAATGTTGATTTGGATTAACAAGCCATGAAACCTAGTAAGATGTCACCATACCGAAAAATGAATAGCAGTTAGCACTATATCAGATGCACATAAAAAAAGCACTAGTTGCAAACACAAACTGTAACCAGGCAAAAGTCTTGAATGACAAGATGGTATTAGAAATCTTAAGATAACTTACTGTTCCCATGTTGCACAATAAAATGGAACAGCTGCAATGACCCAAAACCAGAAACTGCTCCTTCCACACATGGCAGTACTTCCAAAAGCCAAGGTTTCAAACTGAGGAAAGCATAATGCAAGTTCTGAGAGGAATTCGATTGCCATGGCTACAGAATGACAACTAAAGAGAATAATACATACCGCACATGCAAGTGCATCACATCCTGCAATTTATTTTGGATGATTAAGAAGCATATCAGCAACACAAACCATTAAAATAAAAAATAATGGCATAAGCATGAGAGGAAAATTACCATGGTCAAAAAGCTCCCCCAGTGGACTGGAAGAATTTGTACGCCTTGCTTGCTTCCCATCAACAGCATCAAATGTCTGACAAGCATGTTGTAAAAGAATTAGTAAATTCCATGTGTAAAAAAAAAAAAAAAAAAAAGATCTAAACTGCATTGTTCATAGGGAAACTTGAGCAAACCTGATATAAGAAGAGAAGCATTCCATGTGCAAAATGCACCCATCTTGGGGGAGCTGAATCCAAATGAGGTGAGTACACCTGAGATTGTTAAAGAAGTTGAAGATTTTTTCTGATATATAGAAGTTGAAGAAACTCAAAGCAAGAAGTGAGGAGTCACCAAACCAAAAGAGGTTATAAATGAACTGCAATCAGAAAAAGAAAAGGCAGCACCAAGTGACAATATGGATGGAATCCTTGTAATTAATGTGGTTCTTGGCAATGTTTCATATTTTTACTAAAAGAGTAGTTTCTACTCGAATCTTGTCAAAAAAAAAAGCCAATACACCAAATCCCAATAAACTACTAATTATAGCCAAATACAATAACCTAAGATGTTACTACAGTTTAGAGATCAATAATTAGAAAACACAACTATAAATTGATTACAAACCAATCCAATATCAGAAGATCCCACTTACATAGCCAAGAAGTGCAGATATAACCAAGAACATGAAACCCGTAAGTGTTATCTGGGAAAAAGTAACAAATCTATTATCAAATAAGAAACAAGAAAATATTATCTTCTCAAAATCTACTAATTAGCGTGCCAGGAAATGGTGATTATGAAAGAAAATCTTACCATATTTGGTCTGGAGAAGCATCCAAATTTGAAAACATAGAAAGAAAAATATAGTTAGCACATTCTGTCAAGGGTCATTAAAATTGCACTAAGATGAAGGCATAGAGAAGCATGATAAGACTGCATAAATTTTCAATTAGCTACATGCATATTTAATGATTCATAGAAAATTTATTTGATAAGTAATGATTCATAGAAATTGAAAATTAATTGTTAGTATTTACAAGCAACATATAATAAGAATCTAAAAAATGCCAAAGCAATGCACATGGGGCTGTAAACTATCCAAATAATGCAGTTGATTTAATATTTAATGACACCACAATAATCTTGGAGAAATCCAATTGAGTAGTGATTTGGCAACAGGGCATTTAACCTTGTATACCTCAAAAACAGCAGCCATCATCTCCTCCCCCCCCCCCCTTTTGATCAATAACTGCAAATTTCATTAAAATATAAAACATATTACAAGAGAAGAAATAAAGGAGAGGCAAACTCACTTAATTCTCCTCAAGAGATTAACAGTGTTACAATTGAGCCCAAAACAGTTGATTTCTTCCCACCCCTTGTTTAGCTGGTATATCAGCAAAGGCATTAGCAGTTCTTTTAACCCATATAAGTCTCACATCCATGTTTTGTGTCAGGCTGTCAGACACTTGAATTTCCTCCTTTCACTTCTGTAATTCCATATTCTTCCTTTTGCAGCCATCCCACCACCAACTTAGTCACCTTCTATAATCAGCTTATTGCAGTTCATATACTTTGCCCTTTGCACTCCTTCCATTAAAACCATTATTTCAGCCCTTAAAGAACCCCTACTCCAATTGGCCCTGAAAAATAATCTAATAATTTTGCCTTCCTCATTGCTGAAAACACCTCCAATACCTGAAGACCTGGGTTCCCTACACTGCTCCCATCAAAATTCAGTTTAATGAAACCACTTTCTGGTGGAGACCAAGAGGGGTTTGTGACAGACTTAAGCCAATCAGAACATGCCACTTCCTTCCACTTTCTCATAATGTCACCTGTTGAAAAAACAGAAAAAAGCTCCAAGGATTAGATCCATTGAAACACCCTAACAGTAATTGTTTCAATAATTGCCTCTCTGCCGCTTTCCTTATTCCAAAATAGTCCTAGATTCCTTTCCTCCCAAATGGTCCAACTGACAGCAGCCCTTAAGCATCCCTACATTGTTCCTTTTCATCGGCCAACTAAAAAATATAGAGACAAACAAACTTTGCACATTAGGCAGCCTACACTCAAACAACAGGAAAAAAAACATTCCCAAACAGAGCTTACAAAGGGGCAGGAAATTAATAAGTTATAGCAAGTTTCTCCATTAGCCTTACAATGAACACACCAGTTCCGGGAAAGGCAGCAATTTGGTCTTTTTCTTTGGAGCAAATCACAAGTATTAATTCTTTCCGGGAAGATTTCCAACAAAAACCCCCAATCCTGGGGGGAGGGGGATTGTTTTACTCCAAACCTCATTTCCTTAAAGTTTCTCCCAAATAGGTTAACTTTTCAGCTATTTTACCTGGATACAATCATACAACAATGACACAGCCAGATACAATATTGAATACAAAATTTTCACTAAAAATTGAACCATCCAGCACAATTTGACACCCTTGTACAGGCATCCAGGTATCATAGCTTTCCAGGAGATATGAAATCCTAAAAAAGAGCCACTATAGCAGATATGCTGCAACCTAGAAGATATTTTCATGACATCAATTGCGAGCAGAATGGGCAAAATGGAGAGGTGTATCTGGAGTTTTTTGTGATAGGCAAATACCACTTAGATTAAAAGGACAATTCTATAAAACAATTGTAAGGCCACCAGCTATGCTGTATGGAGCAGAGTGTTGGGCAGTCAAGAAACAACATTTCCAAAAAAAATGAGTTAGGCAGAAATGTATATGCTGAAATGGATGAGTGGAAAACTAGAAAAAGTAGGATCAGAAATGAAGTCACTCAAAAGAACCTAGGAGTCGCTCCAATAGGTGATAAAGCTTGAAAGGCTAGACATGGGTAGAAGTAGTAAGAAATGATTTAAGCGCTAATAATTTAGCAATGGATATGATAAAGTTCAGATCTGTATATCCGTTAGTTTCAGAATACAAGAGAAAGGAAAGATAGAAAGAGGAGAGAAGAGAGAGGAAGAGAGGAGAAGAGTGAAGAGAAGGAGAGAAGAAAGAAAGGCTGGTTCGAACTAGAGAGAAAAATCACTTTTCTCTAGTCGGCCAGATTATATTTATAGTTTTCTATATTAAACACAAATTGACTCTTGTGCCCCTAGTTAAGTATGGGACACATCACTTATTACTCAACATTACACCTCATACTAAACATAAACAAAAAGACTAATCTGCCCCTGTATAGTCGACACTAACACTCCCCCTCAAGCTGGTGAGTATAAATCATATAATCCCAGCTTGTTACATATGTAGTCCACTCTTGCCCGACTCAACCCTTTGGTGAACAAATCTGTCCATTGGCTTCTTGTGTTAACATATGCTGTATTTATTACTCCACTAAGAACCTTTTCTCTCACAAAGTGACAATCAACTTCTATGTGTTTTGTTCTCTGATGAGAAACTGGATTAGAGGAGATGTAGACTGCAGCTTGGTTGCCACAATAAAGCTTCACTGGAGTGTCAATTGAGTACCCCATCTCTTGTAGAAAATTTCTCAACCAAACTAATTCACAAGTTGTATGTGCCATGGCTCTGTATTCAGCTTCTTGAGATTAAAATCCACTTTTTGATATAAATGTGGATTTGAGAGATTATTTATTCCATTAGTTTACAAAATACTAATTTTGAATACTAATTTTGCAGAACATAAATATATGTTATTTGTTTGGATTGCATGTAGACATTAGAATTGATAAAAGTTATTTTATTTCATTTATTGTTATAAAATGAAGGTTGGCTTACTGGTTCAACTGCTCAAGACCGTATTTAAGGCTTGGGTGTTGGGTGTAGGATCTCGTAATATGTTCAGAAATAGACCTTACAGCTTCTTTTGTAATGCTGGAGCTTTTTTTGTATCTATGCATACTAAGTAATACAGCTTTTGATTGGGCACTGCACAGCTCCTTGTGCTGCAGATTTGGTTCATGCTTTTTGTCTAATTAATTACTTTACCTTTTTCTCAAAAAAAAAAGTGATTTGGGTTCAATCACACTAGTTACATTTTTTTTTAAATAGAGATGTGAAATGATGCATTATGTGTCTATATCAGTCAGTATCATCATGTTTTGGTGCATATCAGCCGATACAACATGATACGGATCGATATAGGTGCATATCGGCCTAATACGCATGATTCAAGGGATACAAGCCTATTTGTAATGTTTCCTGTACCCCCCTAGCCAATACCAATATGATGTCAAATGTATTGTGTCAATATTTAAACCCTTGGTTATGCTTAATATTTTTTAATTTTTGGCATTTTTGTACTTTTGTGCCTTGCTCGAAAAGGCGTATGCCTCGAGTACAAATTGCCCTTCGCACCATTTTTTGCGCCTTGCGCTTTTAAAATACTGCTTTGGATCACAAGTTGAGATCACTTAAACTTTTCTTGTAATTCCACATTGTCAACCTATAGAGTAAGGTTTAGCTGAACGCTTTGGCTGTTTAGTGGGTTGTGGAACCAATGATAAGGTCCGTTCCACGCCAGAAATAAAATACATGGGGCCCGCACCTTTTACAGTGGGGCCCATGAATTTATTACTGGAGTGGAACCTCATCATTGGTTCCACAGTCCGCTGAACAGCCAAAGCGTTCAACTAATCCAAATTCCAACCTATATCACACTCTTTATAATGTGCAATTGCTAACCCCATGCTCTTACACCTCCAAGCCTTGTTGGTCCAAAAAAAGGGGGAAAAATACTCTAGATCTTAGACAACTCATTCCACATGAAAATAATACCTTCAAGGCTTCTAAAGAAGAAAATATAACCTAATTATAATTTATACCAAACCTGAGAATCACTCCTATACCACTTTTTGTCCATCTCTTAGAAAGTTGGTTCCTAAATCAAGATAATGCAGATTCCTTGTTCTACATCAAAGTAAGACCCTCAAGGGCTTTTAAGGAAGAAGAAACAACTCAATCATATTTTATGACAAATCAATCACTCCAAGGACAAAGGTTAAGACCACACCCAGTCTACCCCTCCCAATATCCAAGATAGCTGGGACAGAGGGACCAACATTGGGTAATGGCCTTTTCAATCACTACAAGGACAATTTTGCCCATCTGTCGGAGCTTTATTTCCTGAATCAAGAATATGCCCACTTCCCAACTGATGAGCCTCATTATTTTGAGTTGATGCCACTACCTCCTTTATCCTTTCTTTTCTTTTTTATCTGTAAAGAAAGGATTTATTTTTTTATTGATTGTAAAGAAAGAATTTATTAATAAAAACAATAATATACAAAGAAGATTCCAAAAATTCTCCTTTCTTCTCCTGGGGGACCACTAGACATGCTGCTGATCCTCCTGTAACCAATGGGAGATCTTGATACAGTTTGATGGCAGCGCCAGACTGAAGGCCACCTGGCATTGTGTGCATGTGAAAGCAGAGAAAGGATTCTTCCTAAAGGCTGACAGAAGCAACTTTAGAGCTTCTAGTGGCCTTATTAGTGACATTGGCTCTTCCTAGGGGCACATATTGCAAAATAGTCAAATGGGAAGATATTTCTTTCCATCTGTTTAAGGAGGCCACCATCTGTATAGATGACAGGGGCGGACCTGAAAATTTTTGAAAAGCCCTATCTATGGCTTATGAAGATATATGGTTTGACCCACCAAAGGTTCAAAATTTTGTACAGTGGCATGTTGAAAGAAATTCTCCTAGGTCCATTTTTTATGATGGACCATGGTGCCTGGCTCATCACCTCAATGCAATAAGGGAGATACTAAGTTCATTGGATCACTAGAGAGCTTAATCTACATCTGATAATTCACTAAATCTGGAAATTATAGGACCTTTTTATATAGTGACAACTCTTTACCTGAATGGTTTCCTTCTGTTTGGCCAGCACCCCAAATACAAAAAAAGTTACAAATATGGTCCCTATGCCACATGTACAAAATGTACATCGATTTCTAAAAGAAAGTGAAAATATAACATCAAGCTATCTGGAACCAAAGATACACTAGTTCCTCCCATAAGGTCTAGCAGATAGCAATAGCAGTCAAATTCCAAGAAGAGACTCTGATCATCAAACAAGAGATGAAAGGTCCCTTGGGACAAAACAGTGCCTCTTTGTTTTTTTTATTTCTCGACTCAAAGTTGACTCTGATCATCAAACTCCCTCACAGAAAGTAAGCCCCATGTTCTTCACAATAGAGGAACTCCAACATCTTTCTACTTTAGGTTTTTCCATTGTAGCACCCTATGGTCCTGTTGAGAAACATATACTTAAAATTCAACAAGTTCACAAAATGCTCCACAGACCCTAACAAGCTTACCTCTCAATCCAAAGCCAAAGATAAGTTGTGTCCCTGATTCAATTTGTATTTCATGTGCCAACCTAGCATAAAGCCAGATTTTGTTTTGATTTTCTTGTTTTATGTCTTAATCATAGTTCAGCAATCTCCTTCCTAATATTTCATAATATGACTCATAAATTTGTTCCAGACAAGTTGTGTCGCTTTGTTGCACCTCATTTATCCTGGTATGCAAGTAATCTGATATTTTTCCTCCATTCGTCCAGAACATCTTCATCCACAACCCTGTTGAACAATTCAAACAAATACACCCTCCCAATGTTTCCAGACTTCTAATGGATTAAAACTCAATCAAGCCTTTTTAGTCCTCATCTTTCTCAAGATTCTTTCTTTAACTTCAGGACCTAATCCTACAAAATAGATGTCATCTTTGCTTTCCTCAACATTAATAATTTATTGTACACTTAAGCTTCCAATATGGTACTCACCTAATAATTCTTTAGAGTCCCTTCCCTTCCATATTTCCTTTATCTGCTCACCCTTCAAAAAGAAATCTTGTAATTGTTACTCATAATGCAACTGACATGATGCCAGGAATGGTAATAGTTGACAATAAATAAATCCCAAAAGCCCTTCAATGCAACTGAGACAAAGGAAGGGAAATGGGAATGGTAGAAGCAAACAGATGAGAGAAAAAGAGGGCAGAAACTGCAAAGAAAAAGGAATTAGTTCAATGTTTCTTCTCTCATGACAAACCAACTCTCAACAAAAATTCAAAGACTCAACCAAATGCTGTTTCATTTTAAACTAATTTCATTTACTTATACTTGCGCTTTAATTATAAGCTCTTATTCTAACTAAATAAAACTCTCCCATCATAAAGCAAATAAAGTACTAACAACAGCATTATCTGAGATGAAGGCAGTTAGGAAACTCAGTTTGCTATTACTCTCATCATTCAGGAAAAAGCATAATCACCCAAAGTTAGGAACCACTTACGGCATCCAAAGAGGAAAAAGATTGACACAGTGACTCCAAAAGGGTTGTAATACATATTTTGCAACATAGGAGTGATCCACCCCACTGTATTTATACTTGTGCAGAGCAGCAACTCCATGTGATCCAATGTACCCCATTTGCACTGAAAGTTCGGAAGCTCTTCGCAATCTACTGAACTCCTAGTATTACCTGTTCAAAAATTAAAATGAAATAAAGCATAAAACTTATATTCAAGAATCAGAAAAACTTCTCTACTAAAAGGAAAAACAAAAGCATAAACAAAATCAGTTTGCTGAAAGTATAAACTGAAGCTCATCGTAAGCAAACAAAGTGACCAAATATTAAGAAAAGGCCAAGCATTTTCCATTCAATCTATAAGACAAATGCAGAAAAAGATTCTAAATAGATTGAAAACAGAGTTGCTCTGCTATCTGCTCTATTACTAATTACTGTCAACAATGAGTTGTTACTAAACTAAGCATAGAAAGAAACGAATTCACAATGATTCGAGGATCAATCAGTGACCAAGGAAACTAGAAACATATCTAAATGCTGACACACGTGATTACATGAAATGAACGAAGAGAAAACGATGAAATGGAAACCATACAGAAATTAAAACTATGACAGATCTGAAGAAAGCAAAAAAATGAATAAAAAGACAGAAATCATTCACGTCGCACCTCTGAGCTTAATAGGTTGCAACAATGGAAAGAAAGTGAAGGAACAAGAGAGATCAGATATTCTCGGCCTTTTTTTGTAGGGAAAAACAACAGAGGCAAAGGTAAATTGTTGACCCTCCCGCCCCAAAACTATATGGGAGATACTTTTCCCAAACTATATGTCTGAAAAGTATAAAACTATATAAAAAATAATAAAATATTCATCAATTTTCCATACTATTATTGATTACCAAAAAAAGAACAAGAATACCAAGAAAAAACCCTAATATATTACCATCAGGAGAATTGAGAAAAACGATAAATATCGAGAATCATGCATTCATGCCCTCCCAAACCGCTAATCTTTCTACCAAAAAAAAAGGCAAACCGCCAAACTTGTTTGATTTTCAGAACCATAGGCCATAGCCGATTAGCTGCATTTAATCAAAAGTAAAATCAAGGAAAACAAATGACTTCTTTGATTAGTACTCACTTTTTGTAAATCATTCATTTTGCAGGTTATTTGGCAAAAGTGCTTTTACTTGCATGCCTTACAAAATAGGTCATAGCCATCACTGATAGACCAGAACCAGAAGTACTTCTGCAAAAAAAGGACAGAAACATCTGTACCCTTCACTGTTCACGGTTTTACTTCTTGTCATTGTGAATAACTGAGATTTTTCCTGTTATTCCATAAATGATGTTCCCAATTATAAACCTCAACAAAAAAGATATGAGTTTGCCACGTGGAAACACAAAAGTTTGGGCATATGGGGCTGATGTTTTCGATTCTGCCACATCATCTTTACTTGGTTTAAATGTATTATCATCATAATATGATAATGATAATACATTTGCATCAATGAACTTCTAAGAGGGTTCCTTTATATGAGAATTGGGGACTGGGGAGTACCATAGTGTATAAAAATATAAAGGTGGATGCTAGCGTCACGGGCTTATTTGTTCATTTAATGACAACTGGACAAGAGTCAAGACAAGACCCCTTTGAATTTTGAAACAAGAATCTCTGGTTTATATATTTGTCTTATTGTGATTTGATATTTTCATGACAAGTATCTCATGCTTACAATATTAAAAAATAAAAAATAAAATATGCTGACCATAAATATTTTAGAAATAAATATTTAAACAATGACATACTTTCTCTTGCTTCATTAACCGGGTCAAAGTAACTTTTCTCTTAATTTATTAACAAATATAAGTTTTAATTAACAAGTTCTCTATGGGTAAAGAAATTATTTTCGTGATCCATAATTAAGAAAGGATCAATGTAATCTTCTAATGTATATACGTTGATGAAATGAATCTAGTTTTTTTTTTTGTCATTTACTTAGATATCCCTTAAAGTTTCATTTATGTATTAAAACCAATCACATTGCTAAAACATGTCCTATAGTTTGTAATCCTTTGCGATTGTCACTAATTTTCTTATACGAGAGTAAAAATGATGCTTTTGACGATTTGGTTCAATTTGGAAAGAGTATAAATACATGGTATAAAACCTCGTAAGTTGCATTTATATACAGTACCGTCTACAAATACATGTACAAATTGGGAAAGGTAGGAAATGCTTTTGATGCTTATCATTATTTTTATACAGTACAATACCTTGTATATTGCATTTATAACCCATATTTTGCATTATATATATTTGTATTTATACTATTTCCAAACTGAGTATTTGGGAAGAGTGCAAATACAGATAGGTATGCTAAAAATGTTTGAAGACAGTACTTCTAAACTATGGCCCTGTTTGGTGCCTCTGATCTCTTAACGCTGAAGTGGTTTCTTACCACTTTCAGTGCTAGAAAGGTGTTTGGTGGTTCTTAACACTGAAGCGGTGAAACCTAATTATAGCTAAAGTACAAATGACTCAAGCCATTATTTTAATAGATTTTACCCATATTGCCCCTCTAATGCTCAATTAACTTATAACATCTCATATGAAGACCCATCGGACCCACCACCAATATATTATTTTCCCCATAATATTATTATATTGTAATATTATAATATTCATATTATATTATTATTATAATAATAGTTCATTAACTATATTATTCATTATCGTCTTATAGTGCTATTAATATTTACTTTTATTAATTATTATAACTAATTATTTAGAATATTTTTTACCAATTATAATATTATAATGAAACCAATAATTATTTATATTAAATAGTATTATAAATTATGAATAGTAGTAATATTATATTATAATATAATCATATAATATTACTAACATTATAAATTAATGATTAATATTATAATATGTTATAGTAATATTCTAATAGAAATTAATTATTTAACATCGTACAGTTTCATTAATTATTAATTATTAATTAATTAATCAATCAATCAATCATTATTAATACTTAGTAGTAGTTAATTAATTATTAATAATAGTTACTAATTAATCATAATAATTAAATATTATTACTTATTAATAATTAATTATTTATTATTAATAAAAGAACTTATTATTAATTGTTAAAAATATGTACTGTTTAATCACAAAAATTAATAATTAATAATTGATTATAAATTATTAATATTAAGTATTAAGTATTAATTACTAAATAAATGTTAATTAGTAATAATATCTCATTAATTAATGAATAATAATAAATCATAATTAAGTAATATTTAATTATTATTAATAGTTAATTAATTGTTAGTAATAAATATTAATCATTATTAATAAGTATTAATTAATCATAAAAATAATTAATTATTAATAGTGATTAATTCATTAATTAATAATTAATATTAGGTGATATTTATTATAATAATTTTAATATTGCTTCTTTATTGAATTATATAGATAAATAAAAATTCTCTTATATGGGGTTAAATTGGACATTTGACATTTTTCAGAATTCAGAACAAACGAACCGGCCCTATGTGTTTGCATGGTACACATTGTATTTGCACTCTTTCCAAATTGAGCCTAATGTCCATTCAATCAAATCCATTAAAAAATGGAAAAAAAAAACAAAATATCAATGTTACCCCCAAGGTTTTGTTTCTAAGGCTCAGTTTGGAAAGAGTGCAAATATAAATATGTACAATACAAAATAATACAAAATGTAAGGTTTTGCAATCTACATATTTGTATTTGTATTCTTTCCAAACCGAACCTAAAAGGTTGACATGGAAACTATAAGGGTATTTTGAAATAAGAAACCCTAAGCAGATTGGTCCCCTCTCACATTTCAAATCCTCCATATCTACTCCGCACAAATTGTTCCCATAAAGCAGCACCACCGTGTATTGGGAACATCTCTCCATGAATGACAAGAGAGATATTTCCAATGCATAGCTGAAATGTCTTGTGGACTTGTGGGTAGAGATGTGAGAGCAGCTTGCGGGTAGCAAATCCGAGCCCCTATCAAACATTTGAATCCAAATTCAATCTGAAATTCAATATGTTGGTTGGTTAGGATTCAAAATTAATATGCATCCATCTCATTTTATGTAAAATGACAAAAATTAAAAAGGTTTAAAAACTAATTATTTTTAACTTATACATGTATAAAAATGTATGTAAATATAAAATACTAAATTCATCAATTATAAACATTATATAATTCTATTCAACCTCTCTCTCTATACATACATAGTTATACTAAATATTTATAAAAGAATATCTTTGTGCCGGACTCAGGTTTTAATTGGATGCAGATTTTAACTTCTAAATCTGGGCTAATTGGATTTGGAGATAAATCGGGTAGCAAACTTTTGGAATCTATTGACAACCCTATATGAGATGAACTATTTATAGATGGAGAGATAAAGTAGTAGGTCTCTTAACAAATTGTTTGGGTTCCACTTTACATCTGCCACTCACACCAAACAATTTGGAAAACCCAGCATATACTGTACTTGATCCCTAAGGCTGTGTTTGGTTGCAATGCAGATAAATCTGCATTGATGCAAAATTATGGTAGTGCAAATTATTTGAGTGTAAATTTTGATCTATTTTTGTTTCAAATTTTAGTTTATTTTTGTTTGATTGCAGTACAAATGAAGTAATTAAAAAAGTAAGATTTTGCATTTTTTCATTTGCATTCCCATGCATTTGTACTAATGCAAATGAAATTACACTACAACCAAACACAGCCAAAGGATTAGCCTTGGCTTCAATGTCCCAATTAATCAGGGTGTAATTTGGGCGGGTTCCGATTGGGCTTTTGTCGCAAATTGAATACCAACTCGGGCCACCTGAATTGCACCCGTCTTGACTTTGCTCTTCTCCGCAATTCCAGAACTTCTGCAACAGAACATATGTACTACAAAACCCAATAATAAACATGTTATTTTCTATATGCATAATAACAGTACAGATTGCTGATGTATTTTATGACATTCCAAGGTTAAAAATTTCGTTATATATCAGCTGATACATATCGTATTGGTGGATTACCGATATATGAACTATAAGGAATTTTGGGATAAGACCTATTTCAGGGGGTAACCAAGCCTTTAACCGACCCCCTGAATATATTTTGAAAAAAATAAACTAAAAAAAATATAAAAGAGTGTTGATACAAAATTCGATACACCTAATTTGATGTATCGGACTGTATCAAAACTTGCTTTATTCCTGATTGATAAAAAGTGTCAACGGATGTTGCTCCAATACAATCCGTTCCACGAATCCAACACATTACATTACAATCAACTCCAATTTGAAATTCAAAACGGATTGGATTTATAATTACTAATCATACACAATGAGAAAGAATTAATTCATTGGATATACATTATAAACTTAATAGTGTAAGAGCATATGTTAAATAAATGTACAAATAAATATTAATCATACATGATACATGATGCATGGTATTTCCGTATTTGGATTTAACTTTATGAATTCATGGAATCCAATGCAATTACATGCTTTATATAGCATAAATATATTATGTATAATTGTAACTATTTCTATTGCAATGCATTTTATGGCTATTGATGTACTAATAATCTCAAACTACAGGCTGAATTGGATTGAAAAATAAAGTACAAAAAACTAATAGAAATTACTTGAGCTTACTGCCACCCTTTCAAAATCCATAACCCTGCTACGGTACTAAGTAAATAAGGATAAATAGCTCATCAAAATATTTCTCTTCGACAGGTTTGAGATTACTTGTGTAAACGTAAGATTTTCACAGTTCGATAAGAAGCAGAAGGGATTATTTCAAAGAGAGGTGTAGTGACGAAACTGACGATTCTAATTTGGGGGAAAGTTATGATACGGGAAAGACATGGTACCTGAAAGGCTTTGACCAATCATAACCTCTGAATTTAAATGAAAGTCCACCTGATTGGTTACTACCTTTATGATCCTAGTTGATTGGTTGTAAGTTTTCTGGTGTCATGTTTTTCCAGCATTATAGTTGAACCCATTGAACTATTGTTGGTTGATTATTATTCAAACGTATTTTCCACCTAAGGGAAAAGTTGCCAATACTTGAATGAAACAACCCTTTTCCCACCTAAGGGAAAAGTGATACCCATCTTCTAAGTGGGTAAATAATGACTTCTTATGGCTAAAATGGTCACTATCTTATTTAACTAGAAAATAAGACCATGGCTAAATGCACCTAAACAGGTAAATGTTTCCTAGAAAATACTTACTCCTAGATAAATGCATTTACCCAGATAAATAACTTATTGAAAAACGAATGGAGCCTTAATATCTCCCAAACCTTGAGAAAAGACTAAAGATGACATAGTATATCTGCACCCAGCAAAAAAGTGTGCTTACACACTGACGGAGTGGCAGTCCAATCATGTATTGGGAACATCTCCTATGAATGGCAACATATTCCTGATGTGCAGCATAATGTCAGAGTATTAGCACACTTTGCTGGCAGCGTATCTAGAAAATTATTGGATTGGATGGCGGAATATCCACCTCGATCCATAATTAAGATCATTTGAAAGTAACATCCGACCCCAGTTCGATTAGTGTATCCTTCACGGATGTCCTGATCCTTCTTAATTGGATTGGATTCAGATTGGATTGGGGTGGACCTGAGACCATAAACCTGACTCGTACAAGGAATGGCTCAAATTTGAATTAAGCCTTGACCTTACAAGCCCTCAGAACCCAAAAACCAAAACGGTACTCTACAACAAGCACCCAATCCACCTAGATCAACCTGGCAAAAAATTTCACAACCCAAGGCTAACTTCAAGAATCAAGAATAAACTCATACTAGAAATTTAGAATAACACCGGATAGACAGTTGGGTTCATGATGACTGTAGATGAATGCTCATTTAGGGCCCGTTTAGGAGGGCTGAGCTAATTAGCTAAAGCTTTACTGCTTCAGACAAGTTATTTCAAGAGAATGAAGTGGAAAACCCTTAAAATGGCTAATGGATGGCCAATTTAGGTTATCCGGATTTTTCACCAAATACAACTGTTTGGGGCCCACCTTGCAAAGCCAGAAACCGCTGCACTTAAGCCCTCCCAAACGGGCACTTAATTGTATATTTGATTGTTGAAGAGGCTGAACCATTTTGTATTTTCAATCCAAATTATTCCCTACCCGGAAACAAATTCATAAAGGTGCAAGTGGCAAGAGAAGAAACCACCTGCTCAATGAAACAAATGTTAACAACCAAAGGTGCTATTGCAGAATACTTTTTTTGCTCCTGTTTTTTTTCGACTGCTTTACCCCTGCCGGTTTCCTATGATTAAATAATTTGATGGCCAGAGACCAGATTGGTCAGTCGAGCTAGACTACTCATGGAGTACAACACCATCTAGTCCCCTCCAGATGCAGTGAATCCCATCTTTTAGATGAGTGATAAAAACGAAAAATAGATAGAAAGAAATTGACTATAAGAATGGCGTTTATATTCACAGGCTTCACAGCTCAAGGTTATCAAACGGGGTGGTACAACACATGGCTCAATACAATATCAATGATTTAACAGAGTAAAGCCCAAAAAAGGAACAAAAGTGGCCCTCCCTCAATATGAATAGTTGATCCCTAAAAAACAATGGCACATTCCGTCCTACAATATCAATGATTTAACAGAGTAAGGCCCAAAAGAGAACAAAGGTGACCCTCCGATTCGAAGAGTTGATCCCCAAAATCAATGGCACTCTTTTTTTTTTTTGATCAGCAAAAATCAATGGCACATTCAGTCAGCTCTCTTCGAAATTCCAATCACATGTCCTCCATAACCTTGAATAAGCCATAAAACCAGGTAGATGAACCAACTATAGCCCAATACCACAAAACCAAGTTGCCTACAATTTTCAATGAACATCATCAAGCGTTTGTGGAACATATCTCACTTGTATCTAAAAAAGGAATGATAAGCCTACTTTCAACACTAGGAACAAAGAACTACTCAACCTTTGCTTTAGAGTTGTACATGTAAATGGCAGTGGTATTATTGGAGGTTGATTTAGAAGTTATACAATCCACAAGAAAAGCAGAGGGTAAAAATAGAGCTCTATTCCAACTCACTTATCATTCCACAGAAAGAAGGCAAGGAACATAAAAGGAAAATGAAATAATTGAAGAAACTTACAATTGTAGCGATGGAATTAACTCCACAAGAAGGACTCAATGTTAAGTTCTACAAAGGAACACGGATCTGGGATATCGAAGTTACTCAAGACCTAAAAAGCACAAAAAGTAAAAGCAATGTTGAACAGGAATTAGATTAACATGATATAAAACAAACCCCAGCAAGGTGTATAACTAGTTAGGACAAATAAATCCAATTAAAATAGTAGAGACCCCAAGACAAAGATGCCTTACTAGTCCAATACAAGTCAAACCAATTACAATGGCATGATGTATTCCAGTTCCTGAGAGTTGACATACCTCTGGATGCACAATACCAAAGGTCCCTATGTGCTTCCCTCTGAAAACGATGCTAGCTTGTCTACCCGGAAGAAATTCAGGCTCCTTAACATGCAAGATTGTAAGTATGGCAAGACCAAACTCTCAATAGGTAACAACAACAAAGAAAATGGAGTGTAAAATGAAAGCTTACATTTGAACGCCTTATATAATAGCCCTTGTCATCACCAATTGGAACAAAAGGTGTTCCAACTACTTCCATGATTCTATCCACCAGGCAATGAATTAACTGGGAGGAAAGGATAAAATTTTCATGTGAAATATGACAGAAAGAGGAAAGATACAAATTAATAATAAACACAACACACACACACACACACACACACACACACACATACAGACCATACATAAATGCATACATACATATATATTATACATGTGTGCACATAAACATACAAACACACGCACATACACACACACACACACACCATTCTAAAAAAAATAGGCCATTACCCAAAGTTGATCCCAGTTATCTGGGGGAGGGGTAGACTGGGGACAAAGTGGACACCCTCTCAAACCTGCCTACTTATGCATGACAGCCAGAGATTTTATCATTATACCAAGTAATGACCCCTACATTCTACATTCTACTAAAAAAAAAGGACACACACACACAACTACATTCTAAAAAAAATAGGCCATTACCCAATGTTGATCCCAGCTATCTGGGGGGGTAGACTGGGTAGGTCCTAACTTTTGGCATTTTTTCAAACGAAGTGGATACCCTCAGACTCAAACCGGCATTCTAACGCATACCAGCCTGAGATTTTACCATTACACCAAGTAATGGCCCCTACATTCTCATAATACAAAAAAGCCTAATTGCTAGGAAAATTCCCAAGGGAAACTTTAGCCCCAATAAATCGAGTTATAAGAGTTTATTCTCAACCATTAGTTCAATTTCCTTGGATTTTGCTTTTTCTTTTCCTTTTTGATAAAAAGGAAACAGTATAGATTTGTAGTATATATAAAAAAGTGTGTAAATGGGACTGTACAAAAAAGAATAACTGCTAAAGATAAGTATGTTTCTTTCTGAAAATGGTAACCATTCAGGAAGTGAGTTGTTAAAAAACAAAAAAAACACCGTAAGTGTGAGCCATTAGCCACTACCAACAAAGTTCTAAATGCGGCAAAAAAACCATCTTTGAAGCCAATGGAAAAAGTAAAAAGCTATTAATAACCAAGATAAGGGCACCCAATCCCCAGGAAAAATGAAGTTCAAAAACAACCCTTGTTGGATAGGACAAAATGAAACATTCAATTGATCTTTCTTTGGATTGTATAATACTATCAAGAAAGCAACAAGACATTCAATGCTTCTAGTCTTTCTTAGAAGTTATACCTCAAACCCTGAGTTAGCACCACAATATAGAGCTGCAAGTTGGCGCTGATTCTTCGCACCAACATCTTTTGTTTCATCCAACACTGATATATCACCCACTTCAAATATCTACAATCAATAATTCATTGCCCAGTCTCAGAAGATACAGCTTAAGCATAGAAATATAAACACGAGTTAAAGGAAAGCAAATTACTTCATCTTAAGTAACAACAAAGAACACTCAGATATAAAAACAATATAATGCAACACTAAATATAAATGTGATTCAAGTCAAAAGAAAATAAATAACAGCAATAAGGGTAGTTCAAAGGCTGAACACAAACAAGCTCATGTCATGGCATGAACCTAGCCCCCTATTCCGGGCCTATTTCTGCAGATAAATACCAATGTACCTCCCCATATCAAGCCCAAAACAAGGTAAACCAAATGGGCCTAACATGAGACCCACTATAGCCCTCCGAAACTAGACATCAAAACAAAGAAGGGAGCACTTCAGTACAAAAACCAGCCAGACAGAAATGTTCTCTCTCTCTCTCTCTCTCTCTCTCTCTCTTTTGATAAGTAAACTTTAAAAACTTTTATTGATGAGAATCAGAAAAGAGAAATCAAAGGAGATGTGCAAGGCACACCCTCTCAATGGATACAAAATGAAATTACAATTAAACTCAAAACAAATGTTCCCTACTAACCCCTTGTTTGGCTAACAAGTCAGCCACCGTTTAGCTGATATTCTTTTTTAGCTTAAGGGAGTAATGCTTCAATCAGAAGGATATGTAGAAAAATGGATATTTCCTTGGAAATAGGAATAAATGGCACTAACTGGAATTAGAAGTTTAATCATAAAAATCAACATATATGTTGTGGAAGATTGAAGTTGTGCACTGCTGATATTATTTGGAAATAAAAGAAGCCTTACTTTTTAGGAAAAGATAAAATATCATCACAATGATGATAGGCAAGTCCTCATGTTTTACTTTACCTCATATAAGCTATTTTCAGGTAAGGATAATGTTGTAAGGCTTATTTAATTGTTACTTTGTAGTTGCTGTTAGTAGGCTGACTTCTTAAGATACTGTCAGTTAGTTACTTTTCTTTTTTTTTTCTTATTAGTTTGGTTCTAGGGTGTGCCGCCAGGGGCATACTTGTAATTTCTACTCTTTTTATTAAGTTAATATAAATAGAGAACTGGCGGCAGCCAGTAGTGATTCTTTTCCTCTCAATCGTTTCTCCCTTTTTCTTCTCTCTCTCTCTCTCTCTCTCTCTCTCTCTCTCTCTCGTTTCCCACTCTCCATGAATGATTAAATGGTATCAGAGCTAGGTTTTCTGGGCTGTAAAAGACCTTCGATCCCTCCTGTTTTGAACCTGCTTTGCCTTTTCTTCCTTCTTTAAATTCTTGGACGTGGAAGACAGAGAAACCCTAGCAGATTACTGGTGGCACCTCCTGTGGTTTTTTTCCTTGGTCGTAATATCAAGGAAACCCTAATCGGAGAAGGGCGATGCTGATAGAGACTCTCTTCCTTCTCTGTTCGATGCTGTGAAGTCAATTTCAGGTTGGCACCTTCGTACAGGTGCTGGACAGGTGTGTTCTTGTTTTTGTCTTTTTTGGCCAATGGTGTGAAGGGCTTATTCCTTGGTTCTATATATTTGTTTGGATGCTGGACTGTTAGACTGTATGAGCTGCAGTCAGACTGATAGTAATGTCTGCCTTGGCTGTGTTGGACTGATTACCGGGCTGGTTTAATGACTGAACCATCTCAGAGTTTATTTCAGCAGTGTCTTGTTCTCTTCCTCACATCCTAGAAGTAAATTCCTTGAGGATTGGTATTCTGCTTGTGGCTGTTGTGTAGTTGTGTGGTGTTTGGACTGTTTTCAGCAGTGTCCTATGGCAAATTATGAATCAACTTCATCGGGGGTTACACCGACCCGCAGCACAGCTGGTATGGGAGGTAAAAACATGATGTTTCTCATGCCAATTACCCCTTTAAATGGTCTGAACTACCTGGAGTGGGCTA